CATGAAAAAGTTAAAATAGAGAGGAATCGGCTCTGTTGTCTTTAGCACTTGATAGCAGTTAGTGTATCTACTCAGATTTCCTCCATAGCCAGTTACTCAGTTTCCCCTTCTTTTTTTTTTTAATGTACAAGCTCCCTATTTAAAACAACTAGTAAGAAACCCTTAAATATAGGAAGGTGACTGTAAACCTACAATAATAACTAGCAGTATTCAGAGGTAAGACGTCACAAACTGCTTTTTAAAAATACACTGGATTTCAGATTAACTGTCTCTTTATAAGAAATGAATTTCACACACGATAAAATTAGTTAACGCACACTGCTGGCAACTGCTGGTTTTGGGAGACTCGTTTTTTTTAATTGTCCTTCAATGATTTTTTTTTTAAATTTAAATTAAACTTCCAAATGTTATTACAATCTAATAATTCCTGGCCATATTGCATCGTTTAGTAATGGCTTCCTTTTATCATGAGGTCAATAATTAACATAGTTTTTAATAGTCTACTAGATATGAACAGTTATTTTCCACTTATCTGAAAACTGGGTAGATGCTGACTAGGTATTGATAGGTATGTACAAATTTTATTTATAAGCAAAACTATAGACATGATTCTTCTATAAATGTGTTTTATTCTTACAGTTTTATGTTTCTCAAATACAGATTTTGTTATACAGCAATTAAGGTTGTTTTGAATGTCCTGCAATTAATTCACTCAAGGATCCTGTAGATCAGGGGTTTTCAACCTTTTTTAAGAACTGTACCCATTCTGGTGGTGGTGGTGGACGGCGGGGACAGGGTAGGGAGCTCGCATGCGGAGGTGGGCGGCAGCTGCTGCATGAGCAGTTCCCCCCTCCGCCCCACATCCAGCTGGCTGGGTGGCACCTGTGCAGCCCACAGAGGGACACCACAGCCCTCGCCCTCCCTGGCCCTGCTTCTGGGATGTGGCAGCGCAGGGTAGTGGCTGGTGGCGCTCCATCCCCGCCTGCCTGCATGTACCCACTAGGACCATTCCGCGTACCCTCAGTTGACAAGCCCTGCTGCAGATTAAATACTAAATTTCTGCTTCCTTTACGTTAGCCATTTTCTATGTTTGATAACTTTATAATAATATAATAGCTTAAACTAAATATTTATTCTGCTCCAAAGATCTGAATTTTATGGAAGCCCTTCAAGGCTACGTTAAAGGAACAGTTTACTGTATTTAACTCTAAAGTTTACAGACCTCATTAAATTAAATTAAACAGCTCAATTAAAACTTCAAATGGAATGTGTTGCTGTTTTTTTTCCTTACATAGTAAATAATAATCTTACAGACTAGGCCTGCATAACCTGCTGAATATGTATATACATTTCAGAAACCCAGCTGATCTCTGACAAAGCCATCTTTTATCCTGCAGTGTGCGCTGTAAAATGTATAGTGTTCTGCGTTTTCAGTCTTTATTTTCCAAAAAAAAAAATCTGGGAATATTTCAGGGTTTCTTTTCCAAACATAAAAACCAGGTTGAAATCGGAATAAAAGAAGGGGGGGGGGATCTGTTTAAATCGGGGAAAATAATAATATGTTCCTGTGGCAGTGAAGGAGCAAGGTTGGGACTAGGGAAGGGGTGGGGGGAGGGGTATGATGCAGCTAGTCAGCCACTTCCAGGGCTGCAGCATGGAGCAAAGTGGGGGGAACTGTCAGTGGGTGCAGGACGGGGGACATAGCTCTTGCTGCTATGGGCGCCCCAGGAGGGCTGCCGGCCAGGGGGCTGAGCCAGGCTATTCCCAGGGGGCACGTACCCCCAGATCTGCACGCAGGACGAGAGAAGGCTGCTGCTGGGGCTGGTGGCAGCACTGGACTCTTCCTGGTGCTCAGGGTGGGCAGCATCCTGCTCTCGTCCAGTGCGCAGTTCCGGGGGCACGTATCCTTTGGGAAGAGCCCAGTGCAGCCCCCCAGCCTGCATGTAGCAGCAAGAGCCATGACCCCGCGCCCTGCACCCACTGATTTACACTTCCCTCTGCAGCTGGTGTCAGCTGTTCCCGGGGCACGGTGCAGCTTGTCCCCACTCACCCCAGGCCCTGCTGCAGCAGCCCCAGGAGTGGCCAACGCCAGCTGCCTGCAGCTGCTAGGCAGTGCTGCACCCTGAACAATTCGGGGCTCCTCTTGTCTCCACTTCTCCTAACCCAGCAGCTCCGGGGGGCAACCAATACCACCTGCTTGCACCATGGCACGGCACAGCACAGTCCAGGGGCTGGGGGGAGTGGCACACAGACCAACACCGGGGTTGGGGGCAGAACGACCCGGTCCCAACCTCAGCACCAGCACTGGCACCTCCCGCCCTGCCCAGGGTCAGAGCTGGGAGCCTTGCACCCCTGAGCAGTGGCTCCAACCCCATGGGCCCATGTGGAGTGGTCAGGTGCAGTGCCCACTGCAGGTAGCAGGGTCAGGTTCTCCCACCTGCACACTTGGTAAATCAGTAAAAAGCAAATAACTTCAATAAAAATGTCAGGGAATTCATCGGTAAAAATTGGTAAAAACTGAAAACACCAAAACATTAAAAATGTAGTAAGTATCGGTGATTTTGAATCCATAATTACTCAAGTTCAATTTCAAAAAGTACTGAAATTCTCTGTGCAATTACTATAGTTCTTATGTGCTCCATCACCGACGGCTGATCAAAACTCAGATACAATTACATGCATAGCACTGAATGCAACTTTATCTTAGAAAATCACTGTGGCCTAAATCTACTTCCTGTGTCTTGGACATGCAAAGAACTAAACATTTTGCCATTAGTTTATGCTCAACTTCCCTGTTTAAGTTCCAAGCAGTTAAAATTTTATTACTTCTAGTGACTGTGGTGACTGAAATGTTTAATAAATCACTCAAGTATAGAGCACAGATTGAAATAATTTAAAGAAAAACATTAATAAAATTGCTTCCAAGATTTTTACTAGCAGTTCTTACACATTTACATTAAAAATCGTATTTGACATTATTCCATTCTTTCTTACACTAACAAAAAGTGATTTGTGCAAAGTCTGAAACCTTTTTAAATGCTATTCAGTAATATGTAGAAGCCCCTGTTGCTCAAAATATTTAAAAGGTATGAAAATACTGCATTCTGACATAGGGGTGAGTTATTGTAAATTAAGAAAAGCCTTCTGCCAAGATCATACAAAGGTAAACAAAATTAGACTGACTGCCAGTGTAATCCCAGGTTCCTTCCATTTAATCAAATATTTAAGTTAAGGTTACACAGGAAACAAGGCATACACGCTTAAGAAATGGAAAGGATAAAATTTGTCCCACCTTGAGCTAATTAGAGACTTGTGATGTTTGTCACACTTGTAATAGCTCTAAAAAAATGTAAATGATACAGATGCAGTACTGTGGCTTTTTACATTGTCAGCCAGATTATTAAAGTAGCTGTTCTGTCATCATATGAAAATATATAGATAGTTTAACAGCATATGAAAACTGTACATAACTTGTGTCTTTCCATCTGATTCAAAATAAAAGTGAATTTACACAAAACAAAGCATGTTATTTTAAGGCAGTAATTAAGGTGTTTCATTTGCTATATAAATGTTTCCAAAAGCAAAAGTGAAACTGGTAGTGCCTACCTAAAATTTAAGTAACAGAGGTTATGGTAAATTGCTGATGCATATGCAAACCAAGTAAAGCAGGCAAGTAATTTATTACCATCAATATCTGAACTACCTTTGAGTGATCAAGGCAGGAAGCAGAGCCTGAAGGAAGATTGTACTGAAATCAGCAGTGTTCTGCTAAGGAGTGAGATCATCCCTTAAGTAACACCGGGATAAAATATCACTAATATATGCGAGTAATAAAACAGATGCCTCCTTTGGTATTACTGCATGGATTGTGGCAACAATTCCTGTCAGATTCAAACCTAGCTCCTTGCAGGGGCAAGAACATGAGTGTAATTGGAAAGTAATAACTTTTTGGATTTGAAAAAATAAGCCATAAAAATACCTTTTCTCTGAATTGTATACTAACTTGTTCAGACAGGTTGCAAGAGAAAGCTGTCTAGTGCATTCTTAGACAGAATGTAACAGGGCTCACAGCTTGTGAAAGCATAGGAAAACCAGGAGATTGGTGCAGTTATTTGTTTCTAGCATCTGCCCAACACCACAGGGTAGTGCAAAAACTAGTTACTGAAAGGTAAAATGGGACAGAGATTTGCTACTGGTAAGTTGTCCTGTAGATGATTCTTACAGTAGATGAAAACTAAAGTGAGGCAATTTAGCTCTTCTTATACTGAGTGAGCAATGCAGATAAGGCCCTACCCATTTGGTTAACCTTTGGACATGCTCTAGGTCACTGTTCCCCAACCAGTGTGCCGCAGCACAAAAGTGTGCCATAAGAAATGAACAGGTGTGCCCAGGAATTTTGCCATACCAATGAGCTACAACAGGTATGAGGATGGGGAATGCCTTAACAGGTGTGCCATGGAAAAATTTTATTAATGTAAGTGTGCTTTGGGCTGGAAAAAGTTGGGAAACACTGCTCTAGTTTCCTGAAATTAATATCCAGGTTGCTGAAACTCCAGCCATCACATCTGGACAGCAGTAATGCCTCAAACATTTGCATCTCAATTCTCCTACGTTTAAGTTTAATACGACTTCAAGTTAAAGTACACATCTCACTATTGCCTAAAGACTTGTGAAAAGATGAAAATTTAAGATATCCTATAGAGATTAAATATAAATAAAATCTCCATGTTTTTATCATTTTGTAGGTCCTGCAGATCACGAGACCACAAAGAGCTAGTACAGTGTATGCATACAATAGCATAGGACAGTTTTAAAATATTTTTATTATGAAAAATATACTGGCATTCCAGTTAATTTTATAAAATGCACTCTGAAAAAGCCATAACATGTTATTACAAAAATATACTGGCAAGAACTGGATAAAGTACTTACTTTTCAAAAATAAAAATAACCTGCACCAGATATACATGTTAAACACTTGACTTGTATAGCCTGCTTACCTTAACTTTCTCTTCTAGTCTTCCTAAGCGTACATTTCCTTCTGCTATTTTGTCGAGAACACCATGCTTCTCATTTTCCAAGCACTTAGCCTGAAAGCGTAACAGATAAATGAATGTGCTTTCATAATCTGATACTTTTAAGAAAAGGAGAAAGATTGCAACACTGACATAAAATGCTACTTTAGCATTGTGTTAATCTTTATTTTTTGTGTAAATGTATCTTGTTATAACAGTCTAATCTGATAATGCATGTCTCCATCATGTGGCAACAGGACACCAGTAAAGGGAGCAATGTTCTACAAAAACATGGAATCGGCCAAAAGAGATTTCTGTGGGGGTTTATCCTATTTTCTAATTTTCAAACTTCAAAGACTGACTAAGCAAACTGCAAATATATGTCATTTTAATGGCATTTGTGTGTGAAATAGCTGAGTATTATTTACCACCATTTTAGAAATTAGGGATAAGAGAGAGTATGTGCCTGGCCCAAAAAATCTCACACTGAATCACTAGCGAAACTGGGAACAGAAATCAATACTAATTCCCTGCTGAATCTGGAACTATTACTGAGAAGTAAGTCATTTCCAACTGCTTCCACATACAGCAAATGCCAGCAATTAGGCAGCACTGCCAGCTTACAGGATGCCTGAATGCACATCAAGAAGTGTGACAGAGGCTGAGAATGGCATTCAGGCATGTGCTCAGTCTTTCTCTTTTCTGGGCTTTGGTGCATGTGAAACAGGAGGAAGGAAGCAAAGCTTACACAACTATGGTCTCAGGTTCAGAAGAGAGTCTGAAAATGCGGCCCAGTGTCCTGAAAGTTCTCTGCTCAAATCACATAAGGCACAGACAGACGTAGAAAAAATAAACCAAAAAACCTGCGCAGTACTGGAAGAAGCAGCATGTTAGTTTGACCCAGCTCCGTAGTGTCTGTATAGATCAAGCGATTCAGCAG